AATACCTAGGCACTGACATGTATCAATACGGATCTGTCTTAGCTTTTCTGTGCCATACGGTCATGGCGAACGAGCCCGAAGAGAATCTCTCACAGTGCTGGACGTTCTTGAAACAGTTTTTCAAGGACCATGGCACCCCATCGCCTTTTCGATATTTGAACCGTCTCTCTATGTTTGTGAGGCAAGGCGGCCGCTTCCCCAAATTGCGGGGCAAAGCTGCCGAGGTCAGGCACTTCGGGGCAGCTTTGCACGCTTTATGGAATGCTCACATGAACCCTCATTTGATTCTTCATCGCCGGATCAACTTGATGTTGCAGTTAAACTGCCAGCTGGAGAACATGATCACAGAGTACAAAGACGACTTCGCGTTCCCCCCTGGGCCTGCTGAGGACTTCGAAAACACATGCACGACAATGCTCCAATTGCAAACCCAAGTTGCTGAACATTTCTTGGAAGAAGGTATTGCCTATTTCGACGTGACTTCGAAATGTCACATGCTGCAAGAGCTCGCCATCCTGGCTCGTCACATCAACCCTCGGCTCATTTGGGTGTTTTGCGGGGAAGACATGATGCAAAAGATGCAACAAGTGGCGCAGAGCTGCACCAGGGGCAACACCCCGGGCCAAACCAATTTGAAAATGGCCCGCCACTACCGCCTCGGATTGCATTTCTTGTTCAAGAAACGTCACGGATGAAGGCGTTGCTCTCTGTCTTTCTCACACCCCAAAGCACTTTGCGCTCGCGTACTGTGTGTGCAAAAAAAGGCGCGCCGTCAAGCTGTCTTTCATGCAACAGACAAGAAAACACGAGGAGCCCGCCAAAGGGGTCATCGCAAATACTTTTCGCAGAAGATCTAAGAGGTTTTTTTTAGGGGATCACCTTGAGAGACACACCTTGAGAGATGCATCTTGAAGGGTTTGCTTCGAGAGAGGCGCCTTTGTTAAGAATGCGAGACGAAAATCTCATGGCCTAGCGCTGCCGAAACGGCGCATGGGAGTTATACCCAAGTGTATCTGCGCGCAAATGCGCTCACATGAAAATATTGTCACATGAACGGGGGGGGAACAAGATTTGTGTGTAAGAGTGAGAGAGCTTGCGCACAGCGAAAGGCCACAGCAGCGCACGCATGCGCGCGCGCTGTGAAGGGCTGTCAAACATGAGGGGTCGCAGTTTGGTCGCAGTTTGGTCGTCAAACATGAGGGGTCGCAGTTTGGTCGCAGTTTGGTCGCAGTTTGGTAGAAATTTGTCCCCGGCACATTCTAACTAATAGTTAGAAAATAGTCTAAACTATTAGTTAGAAAATCGTGTGTGTTTTTGGAGCCAAAAAAATAGACTATTAGTTAGAATCGCGCCGGGCCAAATAGTCTAAATATACTATTTTTTCGGCGCAACAACGAGACTAAATAGTTAAAAAAAATAAACTATTTTCCACCACAAAAAAATCTACCTAATTTATAGAATTAGATCTAATTCTATAAATTAGGTAATTCCTAGTTTTCTGACTAATCTGGTCTATTGGGCTCGCTCGCGGGCGGTTTCCGCATGTCACGAGCATCCACCGCGCCAGTCTCGCTCCCGGGCGGTTTCCGCATGTCACGAGCGTCCACCGCGCCAGTCTCGCTCGCGGGCGGTTTCCGCATGTCACAAGCGTCCACCGCGCCAGTCTCGCTCGCGGGCGGTTTCCCCATGTCACAAGCGTCCACCACGCCAGTCTCGCTTGCGGGCAGTTTCCCCATGTCACAAGCGTCCACCACGCCAGTCTCGCTTGCGGGCAGTTTCCGCCTGTCACGAGCGTCTCACTCGCGGGCGGTTTCCGCATCTCGCGAGCGTCCCCCGCGCCAGTCTCGCTCGGGGGGCGGTTTCCGCTTGTCACGAGCGTCCCTCGCTCGCGGGCGGTTTCCGCATGTCACGAGCGTCCACCGTGCCAGTCTCGCTCGAGGGCGGTTTCGGCCTGTCACGAGCGTCCACCGCGCCAGTCTCGCTCGGGGGCGGTTTCGGCCTGTCACGAGCGTCCTCCGCGCCAGTCTCGCTCGGGGGCGGTTTCCGCCTGTCACGAGCGTCCCCCGCGCCGGGGCGGTTTCCGCTTGTCACGAGCGTCCACCGCGCCAGTCTCGCTTGGGGGCGGTTTCGGCCTGTCACGAGCGTCCCCCGCGCCCGTCTCGCTCGGGGGCGGTTTCGGCCTGTCACGAGCGTCCCCCGCGCCCGTCTGGCTCGGGAGCGGTTTCCGCTTGTCACGAGCGTCCACCGCGCCCGTCTCGCTTGCGGGCGGTTTCCGCTTGTCACGAGCGTCCACCGCGCCAGTCTCGCTCGAGGGCGGTTTCCGCCTGTCGCGAGCGTCCACCGCGCCAGTCTCGCTCGGGGGCGGTGTCGGCCTGTCACGAGCGTCCCCCGCACCCGTCTCGCTCGGGGGCGGTTTCGCCCTGTCACGAGCGTCCCCCGCGCCCGTCTCGCTCGGGGGCGGTTTCCGCTTGTCACGAGCGTCCACCGCGCCAGTCTCGCTCGCGGGCGGTTTCCGCTTGTCGCGAGCGTCCACCGCGCCAGTCTCGCTCAAGGGCGGTTTCCGCCTGTCACGAGCGTCCACCGCGCCAGTCTCGCTCGGGGGCGCTTTCGGCCTGTCACGAGCGTCCCGCACCCGTCTCACTCAGGGGCGGTTTCGTCGTCCCCCGCGCCCGTCTTGCTCGGGGGCGGTTTCGGCCTGTCACGAGCGTCCCCCGCGCCCGTCTCGCTCGGGGGCGGTTTCCGCTTGTCACGAGCGTCCACGCGCCGCCAGTCTCGCTCGCGGTTTTCGCTTGTCACGAGCGTCCACCGCGCCCGTCTCGCTCGGTGTGGTTTCGGCCTGTCACGAGCGTCCCCCGCGCCCGTCTCGCTCGGGGGCGGTTTCCGCTTGTCGCCAGTCTCGCTCGAAGGCGGTTTCCGCCTGTCACGAGCGTCCACCGTGCCAGTCTCGCTCGAAGGCGGTTTCCGCGTGTCACGAGCGTCCCCCGCGCCCGTCTTGCTCGGGGGCGGTTTCGGCTTGTCACGAGCGTCCCCCGCGCCCGTCTCGCTCGGGGGCGGGGGGCGGGTGGTTTCGGCCTGTCACGAGCGCCCCCCGCGCCCGTCTCGCTCGGGGGCGGTTTCGGCCTGTCACGAGCGTCCCCCGCGCCCGTCTCGCTCGGGGGCGGTTCGAGCGTCCACCGCGCCAGTCTCGCTCGCGGGCGGTTTCCGCATGTCACGAGCGTCCACCGCGCCAGTCTCGCTCGGGAGCGGTTTCGGCCTGCCACGAGCGTCTCGCTCGGGGGCGGTTTCGGCCTCTCACAAGCGTCCCCCGCGCCAGTCTCGCTCGCGGGCGGTTTCCGCTTGTCACGAGCGTCCGCCGCGCCAGTCTCGCTCGGGGGCGGTTTCGGCCTGTCACGAGCGTCCCCCGCGCCAGTCTCGCTCTCGGGGGCAGTTTCGGCCTGTCACGAGCGTCCCCCGCGCCCGTCTCGCTCGGGGGCGGTTTCTGTCACAGCGTCCCCCGCGCCCGTCTCGCTCGCGGGCGGTTTCGGCCTGTCACGAGCGTCCCCCGCGCCAGTCTCGCTCGGGGGCGGTTTCCGCTTGTCACGAGCGTCCACCGCGCCAGTCTCGCTCGCGGGCGGTTTCCGCATGTCACGAGCGTCCACCGCGCCAGTCTCGCTCGAGGGCGGTTTCGGCCTGTCACGAGCGTCCACCGGGCCCGTCTCACAAGCGTCTCTCGCTCGCGGGCGGTTTCCGCATGTCACGAGCGTCCACCGCGCCAGTCTCGCTCGGGGGCGGTTTCGGCCTGTCACGAGCGTCCCCGCGCCCGTCACGAGCGTCCCCCGCGCCCGTCTCGCTCGGGGGCGGTTTCGGCCTCTCACGAGCGTCCCGAGCGTCGCCCAGTCTCGCTGGGGGGCGGTTTCGGCCTGCGAGCGTCCCCCGCGCCCGTCTTGCTCGGGGGCGGTTTCGGCCTGTCACGAGCGTCCCCCGCGCCAGTCTCGCTCGGGGGCGGTTTCGGCCTGTCACGAGCGTCCCCCGCGCCCGTCTCGCTCGGGGGCGGTTTCGGCCTGTCACGAGCGTCCCCGCGCCCGTCTTGCTCGGGGGCGGCTTCGGCCTGTCACGAGCGTCCCCCGCGCCCGTCTCGCTCGGGGGCGGTTTCGGCCTCTCACGAGCGTCCCCCACGAGCGTCCACCGCGCCAGTCTCGCTGGGGGGCGGTTTCGGCCTGTCACGAGCGTCCCCCGCGCCCGTCTTGCTCGGGGGCGGTTTCGGCCTGTCACGAGCGTCCCCCGCGCCCGTCTCGCTCGGGGGCGGTGTCGGCCTGTCACGAGCGTCCCCGCGCCGTCTCGCTCGGGGGCGGTTTCGGCATGTCACGAGCGTCCCCGCCTCGTCTCGCTCGAGGGCGGCTTCGGCCTGTCACGAGCGTCCCCCGCGCCCGTCTCGCTCGGAGGCGGTTTCGGCCTGTCACGAGCGTCCCCCGCGCCCGTCTCGCTCGGGGGCGGTGTCGGCCTGTCACGAGCGTCCCCGCGCCCGTCTCGCTCGGGGGCGGCGGGGGCGGCTTCGGCCTGTCACGAGCGTCCCCCGCGCCCGTCTCGCTCGGGGGCGGTGTCGGCCTGTCACGAGCGTCCCCGCGCCCGTCTCGCTCGGGGGCGGCGTCGGCCTGTCACGAGTCCCCCGCGCCCGTCTCGCTCGGGGGCGGTGTCGGCCTGTCACGAGCGTCCCCCGCGCCAGTCTCGCGCACCCAGTCTGCACCACACCGCCTTCCCCCCAGCCAGCCGCGTACGCCCGGTCTGCACCCCCAGCCAGCATCGCACGCCCGGTCTGCAGCACAACGAAATGGAAATCCCTTCTTATCTCCGTCGTCACAGCTTGTATCGCTCCCAGGCACCTTAAGAGAAAACCTAAAGCAGAACCCAAGCATCAGAGATGCTTTTGGGAAAAAAGTTTGAAGTCCTAACATCCAAGCAAAATGCACCAAAGTTTCGACCCAAAATCACGACATCCCCCACTTCCGTCGCAAGCTCCTGGCTTGAGCCTCCCCCGGGGAGTGGATGGGGATCTCCACAGGTCGTCGGCTGGCACTGTCCGGCCGCACCTGCTTTGCGCGCGAAGCGTTCACAGGGCTCCCTGCAGTTGCTGCAAAACCTCTCATGCAGCGAGCAATCGGAGCCAACGAGGAAATATGGTAAGCCACCTTGGGGATTAGCAAAGACGCGGAAATTGGTCAAGATACATTGACCGGCCACCAATCTTTTGTGTGCGTGTGATACAAGAAACGACATGTGGAGATGGGGTTCAGCAAGAATCCGGTTCCACAAATCTAGCAGGTGCTGACGTGCTGGCAGCCGTAGACCAATTCAGCAATGAGATTCAGGACAACTTGAAATTCAAACAATAATGATCGCAGAACAACATTCCCAAGGTCAACTTTTGACTGCAAAGCGTTCGCAAAAACAAACTAAACCGAGGTCCTGATTCATGGTCGAGCTGTCCGCATTGGAAGCCGGTGGAAGGGATGGCGCTGCAAATGAAAATAAGCACGGATGCAAAGCCAAAGGAGGTGAATAGGTTGCGGAGTGATCTGAGGCAGTGTTGGCAAATGAGTATGTTGTATATGAAAATATGTATATATGTATATATGTATATACTCATATACATTACATATGAATCCAGAGTTGTACAAAGCGGTCCTGGCGCCCTTTGAAGTCAATTTCATCTGATTGGCAACCGGGCTAAAAAGTTCTCTGGCCGGAATTTGCAACGTGCGAAGGTCTGACAGTCCCGACACCTCCTCCAGGATGAAGGGCTGCCGCCGCGGGCGCGTTGCATCGATCTGCTCCAGTCCGACCTCGGAGGCTCCGAAAACCAGGTCTGGAACTAACTCGTCGCTGAGGCGCGGCTGGCGGCGTCTCGAAGTCATCTGCTGATTCGTTGAAAACCTGCTGATAGAACGGCGAAGCTTGGAAAAATGAAGAAAAAAAACGTGCTACATGGTAAAGAAGCCGTGCCTGCGCAAATGGCCCAGGTGGCATGTCCGCGTCCGTCGGCATGTCTATGTCCGAGGCATCTAAATTGGGCACATCAGGCATGCCAGGCCCACCAAAGAACTCATTGTAGGATGTTCTGAGCCTCAGCCAGGCAGCGCGCAACTGTCTATCCTGAATCACCTTACAAAACACGTGCTTTGGAAACCTTGGCTACTTGCCCGCACTCAATGTTCCCTGCCCCTAACCCCTAAGGCAGCAAGCCCTTTCTTCTTGAGCAGCTTCAGGTCCTTCCCACCGGCCAAACCAGCATCATGCAGTTCACTGTGAACAACAGCCCAGCTTCTCACTTTTGGCACTGAATCCTGAGTGCCTGCATGCTTCTGTGTAGCTGAGGTTTTTGGACATGACTCTTTGGGGGCGTCTCGCATCTGCTCCGTTATGTCATGGGCTATGAGCAATTCGACTTGTTTGAACTCCTCGGGGCCTTGCACATTCAAGCCGTTCCTGGCACAGGCTCGCGTCGAACAAATTTCGTGCTTGGGGCGTTTCGCCATCCCAACACACCATAAAAACCCACACAAAATGCACCATCCCAAACCCGTAACGCATGGCAACGACATCCATCTGGTTGCGCAACAGTGGATGATCAGCCTTCGCGGTGCCGGCTTGCACGCAAGCTCCTCCTGAAAGATGGCGTCGAACATGAAGACCAAAGATCGTTGTTGCCATCTTTGCAAAGCAAAAAAGTTGAGCAACTGCATGTCCTGCAGCTCATCTTTGCCTCGCGCTGCACCACCAGGATGATGGCCTTACACTGCGCTGAAAGTCAAGCGACGAAACGACCAATGGCATTTGTTGCAAGTCATGGACTGTTGGGGGAGCCCAATCATTCACAAGATGGAGCCTCCCAAGCTCAAATCTTCGACCATTTCCACAAGGCAATGCTGAAAGGTGTTCACATGCCTTCACCATTTGCAACTTGCCAATGTTTGTGCGGTTGCCCCCTCAACTGCCATGAGTCCACGCACGTTTTGCCTGCCCGAGGACTTGGGAGACCCAGATTGACACAAACAGCCAGCATCCGTTCCAAGCTTTGCCAAGATGACCGTTTGATGCGCGCAAATAGGACCATCTTGAGGCTTCGGCAAAGCGTTTCTTGCAAGATTCCACGCGGCATGAAGATGCCGAAGCCAGCTGATTCACAGAACGAATGTTCTGGGTCAAATGCATCTCTGCAGATGTGAAAGCGAAGAACATTGGGCTTGTGGAAGAATATGCAAGAATACAATTAAAAAGACCAAGCATTGCTAGGGCCTGCCACCTCGATTCAAGATGTCTAGCTCGCAACGGCGGTCATGCACAATCGCAATCATTGGCCTCGTGTGATCCGTGGAAACCCAACATGTCATTCTTTGACACGTCCCTCGCAAATAACTGGCTGAAGTTTGGACTGCCGAATGCCGATCAAATCCTACAGTGATTTGTGTACTGAGTTGTCCTGTTGTTCAAAATCCCAACGCACCAGCACTGGCAATCGCATGAGCTCATCCTTCTGCAACAACCCTACAGCCAGCTCGGCTTGGGCGCTACAAAGGGTTCCTGGCACGCTTTCATTGAACAGGGCTTGCCCTCAAGTGTGATTTGGGGCGCGGCAAAACGTTGGGAAAGTTGTGTCCCGTTGCACTTCCGCACTAGACGGGGTTGTGCCACAAACATGGCAAAGCTAACCCCGGCAAGGCACCTCACAGCGCGTTTGTTGTCGTCACCGCGCAACAACACCATATCCCTTCCCCGCTCGCGTCATTCCGCTTCATCCGACTGTCAAAAGCCATTTGCTGCAATCGCAATTTGAACCACGTTTCTTGAGAGGCACTTGTGGCAAAAAATGTGTTCAAATCATCCGAGAGGCGCTGCGTCAAAATAAACGTCAGCTATTACTATTACCAAGAACATAGCACAGCTGGCCCTCTATGAGTTGTTCCTGCATGTTGAAGCGTCTTCAAGGCATGGGAACACATACTTGATCACATATCCGTCTAGTATATGTGAAACTAGCAGGCTTGTTTACAGGAAAGCATCTTTCCCTTCCCTTCTCTTCCCTTCCTTTGCTCTCTCTTGCGCGCTTTTGCACTCACAGGAGCTGCAACACATCCATCTGCGCGATTATACACCTACAACTCATGAGAGAGTATCTCTTCTCCTGTTGGTGTCTGGCCCAGGAAGAGCTGCCCTTAAAATTTTGGCTGCCGTCTTCACATGTGCTGCAAATCTGGAGCAACACATTTGCCATGTCTGCAAGGTCGTCTCAGTGCTCCTTCTTTTGAGGCTTCCTGCCCTGCGCTCCCTTCCTGCCCTTCCGAGGATTCCTAGTCTTCAGCTGACTTGCGTTCTTCAGCCACCCATAGCAACATTGCACTGCAATGAATTCGAGCGTATGAGTCGCCTTCCGCTTCACAAAAGTCAAAAGGTCGTGGTGAGCATTCTTGAAACTCCGGTTGGACTTGATGGCCGCAGAACAGCCTGCAGGTGCGGATCCTCAGTGGGATAAATTGCTAGAAATGGGGCCCAGGTGACGTCGGCACTCAGGCTTCTTGCCATGCAGTACAGGCGGAACCGCGCAGCCAGGGAATTGGCCACCAGATCTTTTTCACAAGGGCCCCCGCTCTGTAGCGCCTTGCTTGGGGCTTTTGATCCTCCAGAAGCTTTTGTTTGGTCTTCTTATTCTGACTCCACCAAAGCCGAGGAACCAAGACTGAATGATTGCTGGGAAACGCTGCTCCCACCTCGAAAATATCTACCCAGCGTGTCGATGTTCCGAGCGCAAGCTCGCTGTCTGTGATTTTCCAGCGCACTGCAGAGCAAAGAACTAAAGACAATGCCACTTCCGGTTGGGCCCGCAGAGCTATATGCACTCTGGAAGCATTGTGAATGCAGCAGGGGCAGTGGACGCCAACTCGCCTGTCGTCTGGAAGGTTCGTTCCAGGAGGCGAGGTACCCCAGCAGAGAATAGCATTATTTGATTGAAGACCATGGCCTCAGAAGCCGCCTGTCGAGACAGTGGCGCCAGGGCTGGAATGGGCTGGATCTCAAGCTTTGTGTACTCCATGGCTGGCAAGAGTTGCTGCCAGTTGACTGTGCCTGCGGAGAAAAGCCATGTTTTGTGGGAAGTTGTTGAATACTTGGGCGAAAGCTGATTTCCGTCCACCAGATTGACCCAGCCCCTCAACGTGTTCACCCACAAGTAACTCCGATTGATCCGGGAACATCAAATTGGGGCAGTCAGCCGCATTGAAGGCCGCCGTCACCAAAAGCCACTGCTCGAAGACAGCCGCAGTTTGGCAACTTGAACCCAAGTCCGAAAGGAGGAAGAAGGGGTAGCCGGGGTAGACATGGATCCGAAAGGAGAATCTTCACATTCGCGAATTGCATGCGCTTGAAATTCACCACCTCCGAGGACTCAGCTTCACAGAGCCATGGAAGATCTCACAGTGCCACAAAACTATGGAAGAAACCAGAGCTCCAGCATCTTCACCAAGCACGCTCGCTTCATCGATCTTGATCGCATCAAACACCAAGAGCCGCCCGCACTGTCGATTGAAACCTTTGCCAAATGACGGATGAGCGATGTCTTGCCCGTTCCTCTGGGGCTCCACAAGGACAGCACTCGTACCTTGTTGGTCTCCAATCTCTGGGTCATCTCTATCTCCTCTATAACTCTCTTTACAACCGCCTCCCTTTCCTGAAACGGCCTCTCTTGGCTGTTGTTGATTTGGCTGTTCAAAAAGCGGTCTTACGAGGTCTGCGCTGAAACGAGGGAGCTCAACCTGCGCGGGAGGTGCCCAAATCAGAAGGGGAAGGGCAATCACGACAAACACAACACGCATCGCAATTAGGAAGAAAACTGATCACTAGCACAGACAGCAAAAAAAAGCAAGTGGGCTCCACATCGAGTCGAATCACGTCTGCCTTGAAATCTATGAAGACAGGAAGCGCTGCGCTCTGCACAAATGCAATTTTGGGATTTCCTGGTTCTGTTGATCAGGGCAGCCCCACCAAAAGCATTTGCGGGCCGTGGGGGAAATTCTAAACCACACACAACGACCAACAGCACGTCTCAGAACAAAGTCAAGAGAAACGATTTTCCAGCCGTGCCTGGGGCTCCTGCAACAGCCGGATCTTCCCAGTCAGAAGTTCTGCAGGCCCCAGCAGGATGCCAACCTGCATCAGCTTCTCCAGTGTCAGCTGCAGCAGGGATTTGCCTGTGACGCTCTTGCAACGCCCTCACTGTCCGCCGGACCAGCTCGTCGTCTGCTTCCAGCCCACCATCAAGCAGCACAGACCCCATCCAGTTGGACACCTGTGCTTTGCGGAAGCCCATCTATGTCAATGGCCACCGCTTGCATTGCCTTGGTGTGGGCTAGTGTGCACGTCATTTCGCATGCCTCAACAGGTTCAAGCAGCATGGCTATGGTAGAGTCACGCGGCACAGTGCGCATGCGAAGGATTGATTTGAAGCATGCGACTTATGGGTACTCGGCACTTTGGACCAGGAGGGATTGCCCTTAGACACGTCGTACACCCCGGCAAGCAGCATAACACGCGCATCTATTTTCACCACAAAGCAGCACAACGATGTCATGCAGCTCGTTCCCTTTCTTCGGCGCCAGACTGCAACACTTCTTCAGACGGCTGACGGGATATTGCCACAGTTACAGCTCTGCAAATGGTGGAAGGCATGATAGAGTCGGTCTCAGGAGCGCCTTGGTGTGTTCCCTATGTAAGACAATCAGGGAGCTGTGCACTTGCTGCTCAGAAATATCAAATTCCTTTTTGAGCTTACCCACAATCTCTGTGGCTGCTGCCTCCACATCAACTGTGCATTCGCGCAAGCCCCCAATCACAAAACAGAGCCGGCCTTCTGCCAGGAAACCCTGGATGTTGGGGCAATTTCTCAAGGCTAACACAAACTTGTTGACGATGTCTTCTGTTGACAGCTTTGTTGTTGCCAACTCTTTGGAGAACTTGCACTCCACCAGCACCAAAACACCCTGGTCGCCATAAGGCTCCAGCAAGGCAAAGTCAAAGCCGGAATACGACGGAGACTTGGGGAAGTAGCAAGTGTTTAGCTCCATGCGCACCGGAAGGTCGCCCTGGAACTCCTCTTTGGATTTCAGTAAACTCCAAGTAGCAACCTCACGCAACGGCTTGTCGAAGGCGGCAGCGGCGCTGTACCGTGATACCATGCGGCTGGCCGCTGGAAGCCGGTTTCCGCCCAGCATTCCCAAGATGCTCCTTGGCTGGCCCCGGCCTTCCTCTCTCCGGAAGATGGAGTCCGTGATGGTCAGCATCTTCCAAAGGCTTGCCATCTGCTTCTCAAAGTTCGGCCCGTGTTGGGCGCCACCCAACACATCGGACATAGCACAGATTTCGCAGGCCGACTTAAGAAGTGCATGCGCCTCATCCAGAACGCCCTGCTCATCAGGCCCAACCCACCACCACTTCAACAGCAGGGGAGGGATTAGCCCGTCGAATAGGTAACCTTCCCGCTCTGCGGCGCGGGTTTGGTCTTCGCGAGCCTGGCTTTGAGCGTGGAAAGAAAGCGCAGATACGAGCGCGGCGCTTCTATGGTTCCTGTTCTTGTACTTGCTGAGCTGTTGGAACTTCGTCCCGACCCAAACGCGGATTGCGTCACATGAAGATTTGTCGTTCATCGCAGGGGACCTTGCTACCTCAAACACTTTCTCGATCAGTCTGGGCACGCCGGCACACTCCCGCAGCAGAAACTCAAAGCGAGCCCCTTTCAACCTTGATCTCGTTTTCTCGTCCTCTGCTTCCACCAGGTTATCCACAGCCTCCTTGTCAAGCCTCTGAAACCCGAGGAAGTGCACTGTTCGCCCGTTGGCTGCCTCGTCGAGGTCTGCGCCTGACAGGGACGTCATCAGCACATGGACGCGTCCGGCTGTGATGAGCCTCATCGCCGAGGTAATCAAAGCCCTCAGCTGCAACGGCTCATCCACTGTTAGGATCATGTCGCGGCTCTCCTGGAAGTGTTCCCAAACGTCCCTGTCGATCATCTCCCATGCTTCAGTCTCAGTGATTTCGAGGCGCTGGAGCCTGCGCAGCCAAGCCAAGAACTTTGGGAAAGGCGTTTTTGTGGCATCCAGGAAGTGGCCAAAGACCATGCGGACTCCCAGCATGAATTGGGGCTCCTCGCCCGGCACCGGGGCAGCGTCGCAGTTGAAGCTGACCGCCACTCCTACAGCCTTCTCCAACGACTGCTTGAATGTCAGGTTGGAAATAGTATCCATGGTCTCCTGCCACTCGTTGTCTACAGTTGCATCACGCGATAGTCGCCCTTTGGTCGCACAAAGCCAAGCAAAACGGCTCTTCCCCATGCCTGGGGCAGACGGCACAGCAGGCAGTGACAGCTTCTCACGCTGTGTGGTGGAAACTGCATGGTCTTCCCACAGGCGGAAGAGGTTCCCAAATGCCTCCTTGCGCTGCTTCGTCTGCTTAAAGGAGAAGGAGCCGGTTGTCAGCCGCGAGGGCCACTCAAAGCGATCCGGTCGACGGCTGCCGAACTGCTGTTCCAATGCCTGCACCAACTCCTGCTGGCACTCCTGCCTCGGCGTGTTGATCTGTACGGCGGCCTCCTACCGGAAGCAATTTTCAAGAGGAGAAAGGTGGTTGAGAACATAGCATGATTTCTGGTCGCTGAAGAAGTGGTCAACTGGGGCGGAAAAACTGGGGCATGGAATGGCAGCAAGAACTTGACAAACCCTGCACCTCCTTCTTTGCCTTCTCCACCTTCTTCTCCGCCTTCTCCACCTTCTTCTCCGCCTTCTCCACCTTCTCTGCCCAGCTCGACTCACACGCCGAAGCAGCGCGCACGAACGGACGGCCTCTTTCAAGCCCTTTGAGGCTGCTTTGGCCTGTGTCGCAAAGAATGCCACGACATGTGAACTCACCTTTTGGCAAAAGAAGCAAACAGTCCTGCCTCTTCCACAAACTCGCGCAGTTCTTGTTGCAACTCGTCTTTCAGCCCTAAAAGGGTCCACTTCCCTGGATATATCTTCCGCGCTTTTCCTGAGCTCAACACTTTCACCGCTCTTGCAACCCCGACCCACGTGCTGCTCCAGCGGCGCAAGACGGCTTTGATCTCTTTCATCGTGCCGTTGTCCTCCAGCACCCTTTCGGCTTCTGCGACCACCTGAGCGAGGCCAAGCTGGGACGTCGCTTTCTCTGAAGGCCCGCCGCCTCCTCGAGATCGAGCCGGTCCTGGCAGCCAAGAAGTCCCGCGTTCAAGCCTGATGCACGTGCCCCCCGGGCCTGCACACTGTTGGCAACGGCAACTGTTCTAACTTGCAAGCTTTGGGTTCGAAGGTCCTCTTGCGCAGCGGCACGCAAGGCGACTCCAGCATGCAGAGGGTGTGGTCTCACCTGAACAAAAGTGCGACCTGTTTGGGACTGTGGACAACTCTCAGGAATTGCTGTTGCGGTTCTGGCACGGCATCACAAACAGGAACATCCAAAGGCGGCGACTCGGGCTCCTCCGGCAAAGTCGTGGGCGGCAAATGGGGACTCCTGAAAACTGAAAATCCTTTCATTTGCAAACGCTGCTCCAGACAATCCCAAGACCCGGGCCGTGCTCGGCCACCATAGGGAGAGCGCCAGCACAATCCCGAGAAAGCTGAGACATGCGCCTTCCGCGGCATGTTGCGGACACCCCAATGTCACAAACCGGCCGGCCTCGGCCTCTCCTCCTGGCTGCCATGGCCGTTGCAAGACTTGGTGATTCCTCAAATCAACTCGATGCGTTGGTAATCCGTTGCCGGCTGGCATGCCTTCTCGCGGGCAACGGACGAATCTTTCGCTTCTCAGTGTTGGCCAACATGATCCAACTCTGCGCTGCGGCCAGCAGTGTTGTTGTTTTTTGTTTCGCGTTCGGCACAAACTCCGCAATCAGACCTGGGCACAATTGACTCCGGCGGCTTGCTGCTGAGGCACGGGCTGTGTTTCGACAATCTGTCCAAAGGGCTATACGAAGCACCCCATCACAACGCAAGAACACATTTCCACACATAGTCACGGAATTCCACGTCCAACACAAACCATGCGCTAGTTTGGGGGTATGGCCCCAGCTTGAAGTGATCAAAGTCACTGTGGCGCAAGGTCGTTGGGGTTCGGACCGCAACAATCGAGCTTCGAGCTGGAGGCCGAGGCTCATCCACTTCACTCCCCAAGTTCCCCAGTTTCCCCAAGTTCTCTAGGTTCCCTGAGTTTCCTGGTTTCCTTAGGTTCGCCGCGAGCTGCAAAAATGACCAAGCCCGAAGTTCCCTAAGTTGCCTGCGCGCCTTGCTAGTCAGGGCAGGGCAGCTAGGGAATTTAGGGAACTTAGGGTTAAAGGCCTGGTACACGGCTCCTAGCCTAAAATGCCTCGAACCCCCATGAAAAACGGTCTCAGCACTCACGCACCTTTTCCGAGGCCGCGCGCGAAGTTTTTTCAATTGCAACACCATCCTTCAAGTGATTTGCGTTGCCATTGTTTGCCCCCTCACCAGCCTCCGCCATTACTATTTTCAAATAATGCAGAGCCAAATGATTTCCGTTGCCATTATTTGGACCCCGATAGTGGTCACATAATGAAACCTCAAACGATTTCCTTTACCATTGTACCTCCTTGCTCGTTGCCCCGCTCCCCTCACCAGCCCCCGCCATTACTATTATGTTAAAGGTCCCGCGCACTGCTCCTCGCCTCAAATCACTAGAAAGCCAGAACCCAAAAGCCGACTGCAAGGCGCACACCTTTTTGACCGGGTTGCTTGGGAAGGTGGCACTTTCCTAGGGCACTGCGGTGCACCTAGGACAAGGGGCGAGATGTTCCCCCCCCTGTGAAACAGATCGCAAGACATGCGTGTCCTTGCTTAAAAGTACCAAGTGAAGGCGCGGCATGCGTGCCCACGCCTGCATCAGAGGACCAGCGGGTCCAAAGACGCAAACAGGGCCAGACCGCGGGTCTGGGCCCTGATAGAAGGCTGGGAGAGCGCTCCCAGGTCTACCAGGGCCCAACCGATGGCCCCTACATCCGAAAAGAAAAACCCTTGCAAACTGAACAGCCCTCAACCAAAGAGGACAGACTGAAACTCGAGCCAACAGGGCCATGAGCCCACAGGCGGGCGGGAGAAAACAAAATCAACAACAGCACTTCCATCCCACCTCTCCCTGAGCCAGCGCTGTTGTGTTCACAATTGCACATGTCAACTGCCATGCAGTGTCATCACATGCTGCACACATGTACTGCATTGCTTGACAGTCAAAGACCCGTTATCAGCTTTTGAACCAAGGGGTATCAAAACCGCGCAGTTCCATCAACCTTGCAAGATACCCCATGAAAAGCCTCCAAATAACTTGTCATCGCAAATCGCATTTACGCGACAATGGTCAACGCAAACTATAAATGGACAAGGCAGGCAAGGGGGCCATCACTTGTTCGCTTCACATAGTTGCGCGGCCCCAATAGACTGTGGCTTCAGCAAGCTGATACCTACGTCTACCAGGGCCCAACCGATGGCCCCTACATCCGAAAAGACTGTTTTGCTCATCACCGAGAGCGTCCGCTATTTTCGGTCGGGGGTAAAAGTCACAGCTTTGCCGGGTGTAGAGGCCCAGGCGCTAAGCCCACAGCACAGCTTGGGGCTCCGGGCGTACTGCTCCATGACTCCGGGCGCCACTCGGCTCCAAGGCTCGTGGGCTGCGCGCTCTCTCTCAGCGTCTTCTCGCTGTGGCAGTCGCCGCACAGCGCCTGCAGAGTGCAAAGGGCAGCCGCACCGGCACGACGTGGTCCAGCTCGCAGGTGCCGGCCGTCAGCCCGCAGCCGCACAGGGCGCACTTGCGCCCTGCCTGGCCAGGGTCTTCTGCCTCTCCGCCGCCCCGGGCACCTCCCGCTTCGCCTTGAGCAGCTTCAGGAAGATCTCGTGCGCCAGCCCGGCCAGCCGCTGGCCCCGTACTCCTGCCCCAGCGCCTCGCACCAGCGCCGCAGCTCCGGCAGCTCTTGCGCCCCGCCTCAGCCTGAGCCCGCAGTACTGCGCCGGGCTGCTGATGGCCACCTTGGGGCTCTCGCCGACGGCCATGAGCTGGCGCCTCGCCTCGCGCAGGTCCTCGCACCAGAACAGCCCCGGCTGCACGTCCGCCGCGTCGAAGCGCCTCCACTCGCCGATGGGCGGAAGGGTCTGCCTCGCCCGCCCCGGTAGAGCACGCGCGCCGCCTGCGCTCCAGCACCCGCTTCACGGCCTTCTACATGTAGCAGTGCTCGTCGAAGGCCAAAAACCACACAGCGCGGCGCTCCTTCAGCGCCGGGTCGTAGCTGTCCGCAAGGTCGCCCTGCGAGCTCAGCACGCGCATCGGGGCGTTGCGCCACACGCAGAACTCCCGCACCTCCTCGGCGGAGATGCCGAGGCGCTTCCAGTCGTGGCGCAGCATGGTGTCGAAGTCGGCGCACACCTCCTTAGGCTCCTGGCACTCGTCCGTCCAGGAAACGACCTCGTCCTGCGAAGGATTCGAAATCTAAAATGCTGCGCGCAGGCGTGTGGCTGCAACATAACGACCCCTAGATACGCTTGCAAAATGCCCCGCAGCTGCGTTTCTGCAAGGCGAGCTAAAAAAACATGGAACAAAAGGGAAGCCAGCCAGGAGCCAACCAAACCCAGCCAGAAGCCAGCCAGGAGCCAGCCAGCCAGCCAAGCCCAGCCAAAAGCCATCCAAGGCCAGCCGGCATTTTGCCAAACCGCATATCTAGGGGTCGTTATGTTGCAGCCACACGCCTGCGCGCAGCATTTTAGATTTCGAATCCTTCGCAGGACGAGGTCGTTTCCTGGACGGACGAGTGCCAGGAGCCTACCAGGTGGAATAGAATCCATTTGGGAAACCCCCGCTAAAGAGAGAGGTGCGATGTTCTATGTTCGCGCTTTTGCGCGGCGCAGTCTGCAGCTGTCGCTGCAGTCGCTGCGCAGTTCGCGCAGTTCGCTGCTCCGGGCTGCGCAATATTGATCCAATGTTGCGCCATCGTTGCTTCAAGACAATTCAAATTTGCCTCAAGAATGGCAAAGCCACCCGGCCGCGCCACCTGCCCGGCATCGAAGCCACGCCAAGCCGCCGAACCCGCACAGTCGCCCAGATCCTTGCTATATGTCCTATATGTGCTATATGGTATCGAAGCCCAAGTTACATAGAGCCAAGTTACATAGAGCCAAGTTACATAGAGCCAAGTTACTTAGAGCCAAGTTACACAGAGCCAAGTTACATAGAGCCAAGTTACATACAGCCGAGTTACATAGAGCCAAGTTACATAGAGCCAAGTTACATAGAGCCAAGTTACATAGAGCCAAGTTACATAGAGCCAAGTTACATAGAGCCAGTTACATAGAGCCAAGTTACATAGAGCCAAGTTACATAGAGCCAAGTTACATAGAGCCAAGTTACATAGAGCCAAGTTACATAGAGCCAAGTTACATAGAGCCAAGTTACATAGAGCAAGTTACATAGAGCCAAGTTACATAGAGCCAAGTTACATAGAGCCAAGTTACATAGAGCCAAGTTACATAGAGCCAAGTTACATAGAGCCCAAGTTACATAGAGCCAAGTTACATAGAGCCAAGTTACATGAGCCAGTTACACAATTTTACGTAGAGCCAAGGTTAGGTAGAGCTTAGAGCTTCGGCGTTAGCAGCTATGTAAGTTAGTTTAGGTTTCTAAGGCGCCGGGGCGGGAGTTTGATCGTCGCTCGGGATTGCGACCCTCTGCAGATTCGCGTGGTCGAGGTTCAAAAACTGAGGACTTTTTACGATTTCTGCTGGCCGCGCGCGACCCTCTGCGGAGATTCGCGCGGTCGAGGTTCAAAAACTGAGGACTTTTTACGATTTCTGCTGGCCGCGCGCGACCCTCTGCGGAGAATCGCGCGGTCGAGGTTCAAAAACTACGGACTTTTCACGATTTCTGCTGGCCGCGCGCAACCCTGCGGAGAATCGCGCGGTCGAGGTTCAAAAACTGAGGACTTTTTAGCATGCGCGCGCGACCCTCTGCGGAGATTCGCGTGGTCGAGGTTCAAAACTACGGACTTTTTACGATTTCTGCTGGCCGCGCGCGACCCTCTGCGGAGATTCGCGTGGTCGAGGTTCAAAAACTGAGGACTTTCTACGATTTCTGCAGGGCGCGCGCGACCCTCTGCGGAGATCGTGCGCGTCGAAGCGCTCTCGCTGTGGCGCCGTGCAAATTTGTCTTAGTCTCGGCGAACCCTCTGCGGAGATTGTGCGTGTCAAAGCGCTCTCGCTGTGGCGCCGTGCAATATTCTTGCTCGCGAAACAGCCTTTGGAAGTTGTCTCGTGGTTTGCGCGCCTGCTTTCGCAATCCCGCGGTCGCGGGTTCGATTCCCCCCTGGTCCGCGGCAGCTCCGGCTTGAAAATCGCAGCTTTTAAGTACAAACGTAGTACGCGGAGCGTGCTCCTGCAGCTCCGGCTGGAAAATCGTAACTTTTAAGTACAAACGTAGTGCGCGGAGTGTGCTCCCGCAGCTCAGGCTGGAAAATCGCAACTTTTAAGTGCAAACGTAGTACGCGGAGCACACCCCCCGCAGCTCCGGCTTGAAAATCGCAACTTTTCAGTACAAACGTAGTACGCGGAGCGTGCTCCTGCAGCTCCGGTTGGAAAATCGCAATTTTTAAGTACAACGTAGTACGCGGAGCATTCCCGCAGCTCCGGCTGGACAATCGCAACTTTTAAGTTTAAATAGTACGCGAAGTACATTCCCACAGCTCCGGCAGCACTTGCGCAGAGCAACTTGCGCATTGTCACTTGCACAGAGCAACTTGCGCTCTGCGAATTGCACAGAGCACTTGCACACAGCACTTGCGCAGAGCAACTTGCACAGACCAACTTGCACAGAGCCAATGCGCAAAGCGCTCGCATGGAGCAACTGGCGCAGAGCACTTGCGCAGAGCAACTTGCTCAGAGCACTTGCGCAGAGCAACCTGCGCAGCGCAGAGAGCAACTTGCCCGAAAGCAGCCTGGAACAATGCAGCTTGCGCAGACCACTTTCGTGAGAAATCATGCAGCGCAACTTGAGCAAAGCACATTGCGCTGAGCAGACTCGCGCAGAGCCACGCTTTATAGAGCCAAGTTGCGCAGAGCCACTCGCGTAAAGTAGCTTGCGCGCGCCAGGTAGCAGCGCGCCAAGTTGCGCAGAGCCATCTTGCGCAGAGCTAAGCTACACGAGCCTGCTTTGCAGAAACATACGCTTTCATGACATAGCGATTTTTGTGTCTGACTCGGGCAGGAGCCGGTTGGTATTGGCTTGTTTCTTTTTGTTTCGTGGGCAGCGCCGTCCTTCAGGGTGAAGTCAATTTACCTGCATCTTCAGAGTGTTTGGCACATTTCCACATGCAGCATTGAAGCAAGACTTCTCAGCAACAGCCTTTGCGCCCGGCAGCCGTTCCGATAGTTTTTGGAGCACTGCGTGCACACTTGAGTTGAGGATCCGCATGAGTTGAGGCTCGGTTTACCTTGAGACATGCTTTTGCTTTTGCGCCGTCGGCAGCGTATTTTCGGAGCCCCACATGTAGAGCATTAGAGCAAGACTAGCCAGCAGCAGCTACATTTTCCACAGCTCGCCAGATCGAAGCCACCACATCGAGCGTGTTGGGCATCGGTATAGTGTAGTAAACCGCGGCATCGAGTGTGTTGCTTGCATGGCGCGCGGCGATGGTGACGCGCTGCAGCGGCTGTCCAAGGAGCAGGCAGGGCCCAGACAGGAGCAAGACACAGAGGCACAGGACGCACGTCGCTTCACCTGCTTCGCGTTGTCGTGCTTCAGCCATGCATGTGGAGTTTTGCGGGTTAGCAAGTGAACGCACGAGTGAATGCACGACCAGCGAAGCTTCGGTATTCGATAACATTAGCTATAGGCCAGCCTTAGGGCCAAGAGCAGTTCGATAACATTGTGTATGTAATGATTTGCCACTCTTGGGGCATCTTTTGTGTAGTTGTGGCTCAGGATCCTGTGGCCACCGAGTTGCAGCAGCTACTGGATACTCTGCGAGAAGCCTATACCGCGCGGGGAGCTGGCTGGCTGTGCGAGGAGCTGGCCAAGCAGACCGCCGCGCAGCTGCGACAGCTTGCTGGCACCACGGGCGTGCAGCAACGTGAGGCTGGACGCAAAATGTCCAAAGCGGAGCTGCTAGAGACACATTTCCGAGGAGCAGGCGCGATGAGGGAACGACGCCGCGTTGCTCAGTTGGCTGCTGTTGCTGCGCAGACCTCCTGTGGCGTTGTCCCGTTGAAGCCGATGTCCACGTGGTTTCCACAGCATAGGGCATAAAACAATTCGATCACATTGGCTATGATAGGCCAGTGTTGGGGCATCTTTAGTTGCGACTCGCATCTTTGGTGTAGTTGTGGCTCAGGATCCTGCGGCCACCGAGTCGCAGCAGCTGCTGGGCTCTATGCGAGAAGGCTTTGCCGCACGGGGAGCTGGCTGGCTGCGCGAGGGGCTCGCCAAGCAGACCGCCGCGCAGCTGCGACAGCTTGCTGGCGCCGCGGGCGTGCAGCAATACGAAGCTGGACGCAACACGTCCAAAGCGGAGCTGCTAGAGAAGGTGGCGCAGCACGTTTCCGAGGAGCAGGCGCGATAAGGGAGCGACGCCGTTGCTCAGTTGGCCTGCTGTTGCTGCGCAGACCTCCTGTTGTGTTGTCCCGTTGAAGCCGATGTCCACGTGGTTTCCAGTCCTGGGGCATAAAACAATTCGATCACATTGGCTATGATAGGCCAGTGCTGGGGCATCTTTTGTGCAGTTGCGACTCGCATCTTTTGTGTAGTTGTGGCTCAGGATCCTGCGGCCACCGAGTCGCAGCAGCTGCTGGACTCTATGCGAGAAGGCTTTGCCGCACGGGGAGCTGCCTGGCTGCGCGGGGAGCTGGCCAAGCAGACCGCCGTGCAGCTGCGAGAGCTTGCTGGCACCGCGCGCGTGCAGCAACGTGAAGCTGGATGCAAAATGTCCAAAGCGGAGCTGCTAGAGAAGGCGGCGCAGCACGTTTCCGAGGAGCAGGCGCGATGAGGGAACAACGCCGCGTTGCTCAGTTGGCCTGCTGTTGCTGCGCAGACCTCCTGTTGTGTTGCCCCGTTGAAGCCGATGTCCACGTGGTTTCCACAGCATAGGTCAGTCCTAGGGCATAAGACAATTGGATCACATTGACTACGATAGGCCAGTGTTGGGGCATCTTTTGTGTAGTTGCGACTCAGCTGCTGGACTCTACGCGAGAAGGCTTTGCCGCACGGGGAGCTGGCTGGCTGCGCGAGGAGCTGGCCAAGCAGACCGCCGTGCAGCTGCGACAGCTTGCTGGCACCGCGGGCGTGCAGCAACGTGAAGCTGGACGCAAAATGTCCAAGGCGGAGCTGCTAGAGAAGGTGGCGCAGCACGTTTCCAAGGAGCAGGCGCGATGAGGGAACGACGCCGCGTTGCTCAGTTGGCCTGCTGTTGCTGCGCAGACCTCCTGTTGTGTTGCCCCGTTGAAGCCGATGTCCACGTGGTTTCCACAGCATAGGTCAGTCCTGGGGCATAAAACAATTCGATCACACTGGCTATGATAGGCCAGTGTTGGGGCATCTTTTGTGTAGTTGCGACTCGCATCTTTTGTGTAGCTCAGCAGCTGCTGGACTCTATGCGAGAAGGCTTTGCCGCACGGGGAGCTGGCTGGCTGCGCGAGGAGCTGGCCAAGCAGACCGCCGCGCAGCTGCGACAGCTTGCTGGCACCGCGGGCGTGCAGCAACGTGAAGCTGGACGCAAAATGTCCAAAGCGGAGCTGCTAGAGAAGGTGGCGCAGCACATTTCCGAGAAGCAGGCGCGAGTGCATGGGTTCGCGCGCGCTTCTCCGTGTTCTGTCGGCCTGAGGATACTGTGGGGCATGCCAGCGCCGACGACCCCGTTACCGCAGATGGCTTGCGGCAGTTGGCAGCGGCGCTAGGCGACAGGGACTTCGTGGAGTTCCACTGCGCAATGCTGAGCCGTGTTTACAAGGATTGGCTACGGAGCTGGGCGTCCCGTTCGAGAATATCACCAGGGACACATTGGTTCATAGGATTGTCATGGTTTTGTGCCCGCTGGCTGCTCCAGGCGCTCAAGCGGACATCAAGTACCACGTGTGGCGACTGCTTCGCAAGCTGTGTGATGCCCGAGCAGAAACTGCTGAAGCTGTGGCTGCTGCTGCGCCGGACATCGTCGAGTCTTCGAACTTGCGCAGGGCTGCGGCGGCGTACTGTTTGGATGTCACCGTGGAGGTCATTGCCCGCAGGCACTGCTCTGCTGCTGAAGAGGCGCGGATACTCGCCACAGGAGTTGTCAGCGCGTTGCAGCAGTGGCCTGCAGTGGAGGCTGCGCTGGCCTCGCAGGTCGCTGTCACGCGGGAAGACGCTGTGGCTAGCTTGCAGGGAGCGGCGACTCCTGGCCTGTGTGTTCCTTTGCAGCACGCGCTGCTGGCTGCCGTTTTGGACGCTTGCGGTGACCGGCGAGCAGGCTGGGTCTGTGTACTGTAATAAGTGTTTTTGTCTGCTGGTTCGGACGTCAAGGGTGCAGCTTGCGTTCTGTGTTTTCTGCGCTTCTTCCTGAAAACCATGCCAGTCAGGCTGGTGGCGGCTGGCAGACTGCCAGGAGAGGGCAGACCCTGTCGACGTGGCCTCGCGTCTTTGCTTTCTGGCCAAGTTGGACGAAGAGCCGCCTGCTGCTGACACCGACGACTACGAAGATCGCAAGGATGTTTTGGAGGCGCGTTTGCCTTGGCTTGGGTGACTGCAGCGGGTCAAAATCTTGACTTGTCAGGTTCGGGTTTGAGTAGGAAATGAGCGTCGCGTGGAGAGGGGCACACATTTGCAAGCGCAACCTGACTAACGCAAGATAGCTCGCAAGCCCGCGCGAGCTATCCCGCGAGCATCATCACACGCACAGCAGCAACATCGCCAGCATCGCCAGCATCACCAGCATCGCCCGCCTTCGGAAAAACCCGCGTGCCAGGTTGCAGCGCAAGTTTCTCTGGACCGCCTTCTAGCTCCATTTATCGCGGGATGAAGCCCTTTTCCGGGAGAAAAAATGCCTCGCTGCAGTAGTGCATGTTGTCACCAAGCTGCCAAGTGATGGCCCCCCTATGAGTATACCCAAGACCACAGATGGCTGGAGTTTCTTGCCCAGCATGACTGACACCATTAGCAGGGAGTAGACGGAGTAACAGGCCCTGTTCAAGCTGAGCGGCCGCCTGTATCAATGGCTGGGGCATGTCCTGTCGTCGCATAGTGGGCGTGCGTTTCTTGCGCAATTCTTCAAGAAAACTACCAAATGGCAATGTGGCATAGTGGGACCAGTAGACACGCAGGCGGCGCCCAGGTGAGAAAGCGACGATGACAGTCCAACCAGTGGGAGGGATACAGCCCGCCGCATGGACGGTGGCTGAGTCACTTTTTTTTGCCCCTTAGCAGCGATCCGCGTCGAGCGCACGTCTGCATTAAGCAACTCCGTGTGAAAAGGATGAAACAACAGCAAAACAGATCAGGTACGGGCATCGCGAGAGGTGCGTGTGCCTCAGAAAGTGCCCAGGCTCGAACATCACAAAGAGAGAGAACCACCCAAACCAGACAAGCAAGCAAAAAGACAAACGGGAACACAGACAAGACGAGCCGAAAAGTGAAACCTGTACAGATCATGCAAAGAGGGGGAGTACCGCAAGCCGCGAATTACCGAAATTCGAAAGGACAGTGCATCCCGAAAGAGCAGTACACATTGCCGTACCCCACGGCAGATTTCATGAACAGTATAGCCGACCATGGAAAAAGAGAATTTGATCGTAGATGCGACCAAGACACGCACGCGGCAAGTCATGGACAGGTAATAGACATACGCAGGGCAGACCGCGCTCCAAAGCATGCGGAAATACTGACAGACTAGCCAGGAGAAAGCATGCACGGTCCCGTAAAACGGTGCGAAAAGGTGAGTCATGGCTCGGTATTGCGCGGACAAGCAGCCCACCCGGAAGGTGTGACAATGAAGGCCTCATTGGGCAAACCAGACAAAAGCAAACCAAGCCCGAATATCTGCGCAAAGAGGCGGGAGCACCATCGATTCAACACCAACTGAAAAGCACATACACACATGACCGCGTCCCGGAGACCATCCATTGCATCCTGACTGGTGTATTGTTGCGCTCCGCCAAGTCAACCAAAGCCAGACAAAGTCCTTCGCCAGCACGCTCAAAGGCTGGCAGGACCGAGCTTGGACCATACTCAGCACAGGCAAACGTCCTCCATCGTCCCTGTACGTGAAGTAGCTTGACGGCTCCATCCATTCGCGGACAGTACGCAGCCCAAACAGCCTGTCATTGATATTGAAACTTGCGCTTGCGTTCAGCCGGGGGAGTGGAGCAGGTGCCTAAAGCATCACCGGTCTGGCTCTCATCAGTCTCAATCAGCAAGGTAAGCATGGTGGCGTCGTCCACTTGCAGTCCGGGCGGTGCCACATTTGAGCTCCAGGAACAGGAGCCGAGAACCTGAACGTGGCGTAGTGGTGTGGATGAGGCGTCCACCTCTGCGATCTGCTGCGTGCCCACCAGAGCCTCCATCATCCGCTGTGGGCCAGCAACGCGAGGACGTGGAGGATGATGACGCATCCGGGGCAGGTAGCGACTTGCAAACACACGGACATCGAAATCCACTCCTCTCGGCCACAGAGCCGGTAGTCTCGTTCTTCCAGCGCCCGTGCACGGACATGAGCATGATCGACCCGCCACTTCGCCGCGCAGTCATAATACCCACGTTTTCATTAGCATCCCACGTGTTCCAGGCACCTTTTTGTTGATGGACGGTGGCTGAGTCGCCGCAATCACCTACAAGGAGGACGCAAGAGTTAGGAGCAGGCGCCTCCCATTGTCGCAACGAGAGACTAATACCAGAGACTAATTCCAGCGAGGTTGGGCGATTCAGGGTCACATATGCCCAGGGTATCAAGGAGGCCTAGCAGCCCAAGCTGCGAAAAAATAGGCTCTTCACCTGCACTGGGCAATACGCAGAATGCTAGGATCCTGGGAAAGGTACGCAAGGACAGAGCGAGGCTCAGTCAAGACAGGTTTGGGGTCAGCATAGATTGCAGAGGGCGCGGGAGAGCGCCGAGGATCTTGGGCCTGACAGAAGGCAGGGCACGCAACACACGCCAATAGTCTTCACTGGTAAAGGGAGCCCCGCGAAAGGGATCAGCCGCAGCAATACCCCAACAGACTCTTGTCAAGGGGGCCTGTGACCTGTTGCCGAATACCTGCGTATTTAGAGAGGAGAATGGAAGGACAGCATGGCCGCCAGATTTGCGGTTCAACTTCTCCGCTCTTGAGACGGCCGAGAGCGCTTGCCTCCTAAGGCAGTAACAACAGCACTGGGCTTGAAGTAGTTTCCTACAAGGTCGTGCATGAGCCGATCAGGGATAGTGACATCATGCATAGGAAGCCTGAAGCGCGAGTGGTTGAGATAGTCGGCAAGAACAGCAGCAGCAGCTTCTTGGTCTTTGTTTAGCTGCGCGACTGGAGCACCCCACTGAATGATAGCATGAAGAGCACTTATAACACAGGCTAAGCTTCTTTGCGCGCGACACACCGCATCACATGCTTGTTGGGCTATGGCCCAAAAAATGGCAAACATTGTCCAATACGGTGTACGGCCTGAAGCCTCAAAACTTGAGCCAAAGGTAAACCTGTGAACCGATGGCATATACATGGACCTTTACATTCGCAACTGAAGCTGACATGATGCAAAACGCTCTGTTTTTCACGCACAGCGGAGACAGGGGGCTGTTTCAATCTAAGTCTGATTGTGCCTTACATAAGGCAAGCATCCACATGATGCCTCTCAGCATAGGCATTCCCCCAATCACAACTCATTGCTTAGAGGCATCATATATCCTCCAAGCGCTCGTGCGTAAATGGGCATTTCATAGCGTCTCGAGTGAAACCAAAGCTTGCGCTCAACTGATCCCAAGACCCTCGGGACGGATCGTCACTAATGTTGCTTTGCGAGGGCACATTCGTGAACCAACTCACACATGGGCTTTTGGAGTCATAATCTTCCAATAGTTCTCGCCAGGTCTTTTCTTGCGAGTTTCCAGATATACATGCGCCAACCACTCCAGCATGGTCGATAAAGAAGACAGTCCTCTCGTTGTCAATCCATGAACTCCAGTGGCCTCGAGCTAAAACGACAGCGTAGAGCTCGACCTGCCCAATTAAATGCTTCCGGCCATTTGTCAACCACCTGTCCAGGGTAGTCTGGCCAAGTCTGCATCCAAAAGCACGTACCAAGAATTCAATACCATTTGGGGTGAAAATCACCCCTCCCACTGTAGCAACCATTCCGTCTAGACGGCTCAAAAGCACCGTCAGTGAAAACCAAAACCGGACTCTGTGGCGCTGACACAGCAATGGTCCGAGGCCTTCCAGACAGCATCCTCTGCCGTAGCATCTTGAATGCTTCTACCTCAGTTTCGTCAAGAACTACCTCTCTGGCCTGGCGTCTCTCAAGGTTGCGAATTTCTGCCAGCGCAAGACGCCCTTGACGTCCCAAAATCTGTGCCTCAGCAAACTGTACTCTCCCAAAGACTGAAGGTAATTCCCGTGGTCTGACACGTCCAGAAAGTAGGATGTCATCCAACGCTTCCACCATCTTCAAAGTTCTGTCCTTCTTGTTCCACACCTTGACCTCTTTTCCATCGGGGTCAGATGCATCAAGGCACACTCCAAGCAATTCTGCACTTCCCGAAAAAGGGAGGTCCTTGTCTCTTGCGCGCCATATACCCAACATGTCTAGAGCAGCGGCCACCGTCCGTTCAGTGTTCTGGCTCAAAGCACTCAACTCGACAACAGGGTAATCATCGAAATAGTTGAGACTGACCACATTCAACGCCACCAGAATCCTTTGCGTCAATCTTGCAAACCTGTTGAAGCATATCACTGAACTGGTAGCTCCGAAAGGAAGAGTGTTGCATACAAAACCATAGACCTCGCGCGTGCCCGGCTTTCGCAGGGAAACAACGGCCTTGCTCCTGTCTATTTCGGACAAGCCCAGCTGTTTGTAGGCCGAGGCCAGGTCAACGGTCTTGATCTTCACATCTGCTGCACCAGTCTTTCTCCTCCAGAAGGTGTGCACCTTGCCCCTGATCTTGGTTCCATCCGACAGCTCAAAGTCAACCGCCCCTGTGGCCAGAGTTGAACGAAGGAAAGCAGCGCACACCCAAACGGTCTCATCCAGCGCTCTCAGATCGATCTTCTCCACAACGCTGTAGCAACTGTTGACTCCGTTGTCACTGAAGTCGTCAATTGGTCTCCACTTATTTCGCTGCCATACTCCAAAACGTTTGCACGGAAGCCACTGATGCCCAAACTTGTTCCCAAGTTCTGCCCAGTTGTATGGTCCATCCAGCCAGCCTTTGGTGTGGCACTCTTCCATGGTGATGTCCCATATAGCAGATTCATGCTCCTGGTCCGCCCGCCGAGCATCTTATCCTTTCCCACAGCGCGCATCTCATTGTAGGCATCTTACTGTTCAGCTCATCCTCTGTCATCGACGCTGGAACGGTTGTCTTTGCAAAAATCCCAGACACCTCGGGGTGGCCTACAAGCCGGAAACCTTGTCGGAGGTGTTCATGAATTTTTTCATCTGGCCAATTCAAGGAATTTGCAATCCTCTCCAACAACAGCAGCTTCTTGCCCTCCATCACCGTCTGCATGTGAGCCGGCATATTTGCATGTATTTCGAGCTCCGCCT